CCACTTTTTCTTTGCATATTTGCATCATATTTGACACTTTTTAAATGTATATAAATCCAGGCTCTAATTATAATATTGATGGGTACCTATACCTAATTTACCTGTATTATATAAGCGTACTATATTTGTACGTAAATATATATTTATGGCTAATGCGATAATAATCGAAATGAAATAATTTGTTTCCTATGATTTTCGATTCACAGCAACGGGGTTTTATTAGGTCATTCGCTCGCGTTTCCCGCGGTCCAGCGACGAGGTTTTGACGCAGTTGTTAAATTATTATTATTATTTTTTGTTTGTGCGAAGCTAATACGCGTCCATTATCATCGTCAACGATCATTGTAATAACTAGTGACAGTAGCAAATAAATATTTATAATATTGAACGTGAATAATAATAATAATCGTCGCAGAGAAAATACGGCGGCGGCGGYGGTGGYGGCGGCGGCGGCGGCCAGCGGTTCTTCTCTCCCGCTCTCGACTTTCGGAACCACGTGCCCGCGGACCGTAGTAGGCCGCACTCTTGACTCTTCCGACGCGTCAGTCTTATTCGGCTATCCGCGGCACCGACGTCGCGACCTCTACACCCCGCGCGCAAATCGCACCACGAATTGAGCCCATCGCGTCGCTTCGAAACATTCACGGGGCACCGCTCTACGTCTAGAATTTGAATTCCGCGCGTGAAAACTGTGTGCACTGTGCACAACATAATAATAATAATATTATCGTCGTGAAACAGATAATAATTAATAATAATATTTACGACTAGTGATTATTTAATATACAGACGCGAGTCTGCTCTTGTCGCATCTCGACACCCGCCACCGAGCTGCTGCCGCCACGGCTGTTATTGTCATGCACCCGCAACCGCGGCGACTCGCCCCTCTGTCGGTGGCGCTGTCGCTGGTCGCGGCGATGTTGGCCGGTCGCGCCAGCCCGGCCACGTCGCTCAAGTGCGACGGTGGCGGCGAAGTCAACTTCGAACTGCTCACCGGGTACGCGGCCAGTCCGGCGGCTAAGCACGCGATGCGCGAGCAGTTGGCCCTGTTCACATTGCCGCAGTGCATAGACGCCTGCAAGTCTGATGACCAATGCGCCGCCGTCACGTACGAGACCGGCGCCTGCGTGTCGTACGCCGACGTGCCACAGAAGAACGCCAACGCGGGTACGTGGGATACCTAATATTATTATTGTAGTTTTGTTGTAGTAGGTTATAGGTTTATAATATCCGGGTATGTACAATGTACCAGGTAAAAGATTAAGAATCAACACGTGTTTTTCATTTATTATTTGAAAAAATAATCATTGATTACAATGACACAAGAAGCATCACAATATTATGTGCACACAACTAAGTCACAATGTCTGAACATTTTTAAAATCACTCGCTTCTCGTATAATATACATTGATTGGTAAATATCAAATAGCTTTTACGCATTACCTAAGTAACGTATGTTTTTATCGGAAAAATTGTGGGTGAATAATTATTACTTGGAGGTAATAAAAGTAARATAAAAAAATAATAAATTTTATAATAACTAGGTACCTGCAGTATTATTAGTTTATTACCWACATAGGTACATGGTATATTATACTACCATAGTAACACCGTGATGTACAGTGTATAGTTGTATACATAGCAATTGAATTATTTTCGATTGAAAATARTTGATTATGAAAAACAATTCTGAGTGGAAGCTGAACCTATATTTCTAAGGACATTTTTTATATAGGTATTTGATATTTATACTATTAGTTATGAGATTATATTATGCTATTAGATTATAGTTTATTTATTTTTTTTTTTTTACAATAGTAACACGATATCAGGTTGAAATTTTTTTTAAGCATGTAGGTTATAATAATAATAATAATAATAATAATAATAATAATAATTGCATCCCTATATCTTATAATAAGTATTATCATATTTTAATTTCATATTATATTACTAGCCAGGGGGATTTCAGGTGTTTAAACCATTTCCTATTTTGAGTATTTTGGTCATCTACTCGTATATTTGATTTTATTTTTTCAATCATTCGATAATTCGATACTCTTGATAGGTAACTCGATTTCTTGGAAATTTTAGAKCAATTTGAAGAAAAATACATTTTTTATATAAGATATTAATTACATTAAGTAATTCGAAGTAAAATGTAGAATGAACCAGCTATCAAAACTTAGAAGTTCCTACACTTAACTCATGGAAATTAGATATCATTTCCTCCGATTGAGCAGTCGCAGTGTTCCTATTTTCTTATAGCTATAAATAATTAACTATTATAMACTTAGCTTCGTTTTTAAAACATACAGATTTTAAAAAAATTGATTGTTTTCCGTATTATAATATCATTTAGTATCACGTTATTATTATTACTATACATTTGACATACATGGGTGTTAAGGTGTAGGTAATTATGAATTTAAAATTTTTTATTTGTTTTTTTTTTTTTATAACATATTAATATTTCGAAATTCTTCGAATTAAGAAAGAATTTAGAATAAGTAAATCGAAGATTTTATAAATCCGACCAACTTTGAATTATCGAGAGTCAGTATATTGTATTATTGTAACATAGTAAACCTATGGTATACTTATGAGTTATAATACTTATTTATTTATGTATTAGCAATGTCGATGCCATAATAATATGCTACGAAAAATAATGATCCTTCAAATATTTTTCTTCCAATTTTGTATTATCATTTAAAATTTAATAGATTTTATAAAATTAAGTATTTATTTGAACCGACAATATACTCAACACGTTTACAATTAAACAATACTTGACTTTTTTAAGCAAACATAACACTTATTACCTATGGCATTTTAATTTGAAAGTGCATTAAAAAAAAAAAACATTTCTTGTATTGTGGTATTATAAAATAATGTGAAAAAATAAATAAATTAAATAATCCAACTTTGATCTGCTCAGAATTGTTGTTTAAATAAAATATTTCAATTATTCATATTGRACAATCGCYAATTTTGTTTAAAAACAATCGGATATTTTATTGGAAAAAATTATAACGCTAAGGAGGTCAATTAAATACACAATATAACATAATAGGTAGGTACATATATAATTCAACTGTACCTACATTATACAGCAGTAACATTTATTTCTCAAAAAAAAAAAAAAAACATATAGATTAACCTCTCGGAAAAAAAAGCTCAAAAATATACCTTAGGACCGGTAATTAGATCCTATATAGTCACGATTTTCCATCAGGYGAGGTTCAACTTGTTCACCCCGTTTAATGGATTTTATATAGTTATTATTAATTTCCAAGTCGTTAAGACTAGTTGTGCTCCCATATAAAACCTGCGAGAACTAATGATACAAATACTTTGTATTTTAATTGATAAGAATACCTGCTGCACGGTCGTACTAAGTGTTGGCTATCAGTAACAATATTCAGGAACAACCCAAGTAGAAAAAAACCTCACGTAACCCAACTTAATGGTAATAAATAAATGCATCCAAAAATGAATTTCATGTTAAAAATTGTTTTTAACTACATAAGTGTACATATAATATTGTGAATATTTGAAGTGAATACCTTCATTATAATAGTTATAATATTCCTTAAGAGGACGCTACACCCGCATATGTTGTCTCCGTCTTACAAGTGCGTAACATAGCAAATTTTATGCTCAGCAGATCACGTTTAGCTCCGTTAGTTTAAAATTTAGAGTAAATTGACCTCTTACAAAAATTAAARGTGACATTATTATCGAGGGCATGACGTAGGCTTTTTATTATATTTTAATTTTAAAGTGAGTTATGTGTATTTTAAGATATACAAACAATTTTAAATTTTAAAATACACAACATATGCGGGTGTAGCGTCCTCTTAAATGATTAAAACTATGTCTGTACGACAGTTGTTTTAAATTTAATTTAATTTCTCGAGTATTTATTTAATGCTAGAAAAAGTTCATTTATTTGATATTTTATAGCAAGTTAATAATGATTAATAATTATAAATAAAATTTCGCGAATCGTCCACGATGATGAACCAATGTTATTTATTTATTAAATTTCAAAATAATTTCGGTCAAGAAACGGAATATTATTGCCCATTTATATTTGACCGTTTATCTTGACAATTGAAAATTATCACGATTTCAATTACCTAATCATTTACATTATATTATAATATAATATAAAGGTGTATAAGAATTAAATAGGTTGGTACTATGAAACACGTATTAAGAACATGTTTTTTGTTTTTAAGTATGATTATTATGTGTTTTCCTCGTTATATTATATTTGTGAATTTCATTTGGGATTAGGTTTTCTGACATTAATGTTACAAGAATTTACACGCTAGTAAATAAAAGGTTTTTTATTCTTTTATAGTYGTACAAATTATTATTTGAATTACTCATCGTGCGTATAGAATGTGACTGAGCCCAATTTCAGAAACTACGACACAATATAAACTTTTACACATCGCTTAGTCCTGTCTTTCTTGTTGCTAATGAGTCCTCTGTAGCAGTTAACCTTAACCGCACTGGTATAAAGTTTTCCGTAATAATAATTGCCGTCGAACCAGCTGCAGTCTACTCATACATTATTGCTATGATGGTAATATTATAATAGTATAATATACAAGACGCGATTTTGTATTATTTACTTAATCAATTTAATGTACCCGGATTTTATGCAAATTCGTTTAACGATTTCGAACTGCAAGTAAACCATCCTGYCATTAGTGTCATTATTAAGGTTAAAACAACATAATATATACCTACATGATTATTACTACGTATATTATACCTATGCGCTACTGCTGCAGTTGTGACATTGTCTCGTACACGTTTCTGACGGCTCCCTATTGAAACGACGACATACCTATAAAATAATTATAATATTATAATATATTATGTGGCTGTGGCGGCACCAATACCTATACGTAAACGTAATACAAACATTAATAACTGGACAGTGGACACCCGTTACGGTAAGTATATAACTGGGCGTAAATAATAAACTTAAGAGTATTGCCGACCTCCGTTATTATATACCTACTTAGAATTATTATTATTAATTATTTTATAGAATCTATCTATAAACCCGTTTTTCTGAAAAAAACGACATCCACGTCCGGGCGTTATGCATGTTAGTTTGGTACYTACGTATATATATATTATATATATACCTATATATATTAGTCATTCCGTTTTTGTTATTCGTCCCTAATTTCTTGTAATAATAATAAAAATAATATTAATATAACGGAACGTAAAAATAATAATCATTATGGACGCGACAATTGTCAGTGACCGAATTTCAGTGACCAGATCAACATCACACCGGAGACCGGACGCCGAAAATCTGCAACGATTATTTTAAACTAGCTGAACCCGTGCACTTCGTAGCCCGTTAAAAATCCTATCTCTTTTATGGTTACATAATGATAGATAGTGGTTAAAATATATTATAATCTTACAACGATATTCAATTTCGTATATCATTATGTAATTTTCTTCGTTTTTTCAATATAATGTTGACAATTTAAATATTCAATTCAATGATATTTAGGCATAACACTTTCTAACTTAGCATATCTTCTGCCCATATGTCTAATACAATTATGTACCAAATTTTGTCGCAATCGGTCCAGCTGTTTAAGAATGTATATAGGACTAACAGATAAATATATATAACCATCACTAATAACACAGAACAATAATTACCGTCACTAAAGCAACCATTTATAAATAAACAAAAATGTCCATCCTAAACATAAGTCCAGCTGCTCTCGAGAGCACTTGTTTGTTTAAATGGTTGCCTTTGATTACCAAAAAATATATTATTTATTTTATTTTTTATTGTGCAGATGGCGCCACTTTAATTTCATCACACCCTCATCATATTTCTCTAACCCGATATAACTTTCTCAAATTTTTCATCCGTAAGAACCTTCTCCTGGCAATTACGACCCAAACAAAAAAAGAGTGAGCGAATCGGTTCAGCTGTTCTCAATTGATGAATTGTTATACATTTTTTTCTCCATTTTTATATGTATAGATTTACAGTAGATGTTCAGGTTATACATWAGTTGTTTATTTTTATATAAGAAAACACAGCAGACCTTATGGTGCATAATTTATCATTTGAGCCGTATTTAGAAAGAATGGAGCAGCCAGG